GTGGAGAGACCCTGATGTGTTTGAAGAACTGGGAAAAGATAAGTAGGCTGGAGTGCAAGGAACATGATGTTAGAAGCCTGGATGAGGCAAGGGAAAGGGAGGGACCAGATGAGGCAGACCACTCTGGTGGGAAGAAGGCCTGTGTACAAGAGAGCAGCAAAATGAATGACTGGATGGGTACCTGGGGTGGGGTGGAGGGATTAGGTAGTGCTGTGTGTTAATGGATTTGGTTGGGACTGAATAACAGTTGGATAGGAGTTTATCATCAGACCATGAGCGGTAGATCTGTTCAGAAAGGAATCAAATAGGGTGCGGGTGAGGTTAAAGGTTCCCTATGAAGTCCACCTACAGCGAGGTGCTGACTACAAAGACACGTTTACTGCCAGTATTTCCTGAGTGCTAGCTTCTTGCTCCAGACCAGCAGCTAAAAACCTGACTGTGGAATTAGTGACTAGTTAAGACAAAGCAGGAAGTACCCGGATAGTGCGAGTCATTTGAATGATCCACTGCTAACTGGAAACCTGGAAGTGCCCGTCTACCCAGAGGTGCCTTTGCAGAAAAGTCTGGAGATCTGCTCTCAAAGATCAGCCCTTGGAAGCCCTGTGGAGCACTGTCCCATTGCAATACACATAGGATCACTGTGAGTCAGGGTAAACTCAACAGCAGCTGCTTTTAAGATCAAGTGGTTCTTTAGTCAAAGGTCTTCCCAGTAGTACTGGCTAGTAGTACTGGCTGGCCCCAAGACCATGCATGGACCAGCATCTGTTGCTCTGTAACCATGGGAAGTGGCTGAGAATGATCTTGCTGCCACACACCCAGAATCTGATGTGTCTTGTGGTCCCAACTGAGTTGACTCCCTGCTAGGCTGTCTTGCAAAGAACATTCAAGTTCAAGGTCCCTGGCTTGAGCTAGCCACCCACTCGAACACAAGACAAATCTGGAACTCTGCCCACCTCCTGGACACCCGTGACCAGGTTGGTTCCTGCCACTTGAGGACCCTCAGAAATGGAATGAAGCACTGACCGCACTGGGACCTACATGGATGTTCCCCATAATGGCCTGAGCGCCCTGCTTTTCAGTCATTTAAACTTGGAAGTACTAAATTAGAACCTTGATGACGATCAGAGACACTATAGAAAGATAAGGGTTAGAGCTGTTCATTGTATCTATGGCTTGGGGTTAGGCTAGAATGAACACTTGAGTCATTCCAAGTGGCAACCGTCTGGCTCTGCAGGATACATCCAGGTGACCACAGGAATTGATTCGAGTCTCCAGGGACCAGGCAGCTCCTTCAGCACCACCTGCTTTGCACCTGCACACAGGCGGTCACACTCCAGGTGACACTGTCTGCCAGGATGGCAAAGAGGTGGAGGAACTTGGAGAGAAAATACTGGTCTGTGTAAACTCCCCTTCAGGAGTTTATAAACCCCTGGTGCCTATCATATTTTCCTCTCATTAAAAGGAACAGTATTTTCAGGACACCCTCAAAAGGGGGAGAAAGGGATTATTGTTATCAGGTGCTGTCAAGTTGAGTACAACTCAGAGCAACCCTGTGAACAGGTGACCTGAATCCTGCTCTGTCCTGTGCCATTCTCATTGTCTCTGACACACTTGTTATATTGTTATGTGCTGTCAATTCAGAAGTGACTTTGAGCTGCCCCTCCAGTGAGTTTTCCTAGGCAGTAAAACACACAGGAGGAGACTGACCACCTTTCTCCCACAGAGCAGCTGGTGGATTTAAACCTTGTGCTTTTGAATTGGCTGTGCAGCTCCTTACTAGATGAGTCTAATATTGATACCTGGTCTTAAATGTTTGAGAGGAACGCTTCATGGGCAATGCATACCTTCAGGCAGGATTCTTCTTTAATATCAGAGGCTCACGCCTAGCACAGGGTAGATAAAATACAGGTTTCTTTCCCCCTCTGGCCTGTTATGTGGTCATCAAATGTCCTTCTTATCTCATATACTGAGAGGGCTAACTCGCTGAACCCTACCAGATTGGTGTTTTGTGTAATCTGGTTCTCTGCTGGAACCATATGTCTGTAGATCTAAATGATGGCCCTCACTCAACTGGAAAACTGAGACTCTGAATGGTTGCAATCACCAAGCCCCTGGGCCCTTCTGAGCCCAGCCTGGGCTTGACCAGCTGGACAGTCATAGTCAGTCGTGCCCTCTCATTTGGCCGTGTGCAGCCGTGCTGGTGCCCACGCCACTCTAAGGATGATTATAACCTGCATGTCTAACAATTGTTGACAGGCGATCCTTGTGATAAGGTTAGGTAGGGAGCTTCTGTGTTCCTAGTGCTTTAAATGCCACTGCGATTCTCTGGCAGATCAGCAGGGTGACTCCGGAGAGACCTAGCTGGGCGGGGCCCTACGCCTGTAAGGACAGTAAGTCCTGAAATGCCAGCGAATTATCTCTCTCATTACTGTTCAGTTGGAATCAACTTATATGGCTGATTGGGGTTCTGAGGCTGGAAATAGCACACGAAGAGACTATCCCTCTTTCTCCCGTGGAAACACTGGTATTCTCTTCCATTATCCCTACACATACTTGTTACCTCTCAGGTCACTTGCTCCCAAAACTCTCCCATCAAACTAAGGAGCTCTGGTGGCCTAGTGACTAAAGGAGTTGTGATGCCAACCCAAAGGCATGTGGTTCAAACCCACTTGCTCCTGGGGAGAAAAATGGGCAGTCTCACCCTGTGTTGATTTACAGCCTCTGAAAACTCCCTGGAGGGTCAGGTATAAATCGGTTCCCACTTGACAGTGTGTTAACGATTAATTCTGCCAGGCTATACTTTGGGAGGGCTTACGTCCTAGAGAAGGAACTCTGCGGGTACAGTGTGTTATATGTTGGGCTCCTGTACAGAAAGGGGGGTGGGTTCCACTAGCTGCTCTGCAGGGAAATAGATGAACAATCTCTTTCCATTAAGATTTACAACCTCAGAAATACAGTGGTGGGTTTCTGAGTCAGTGGCAGAGGGTTGGGTTCCGTTTATGTCCTCGAGGGCATCCCTAGACTAGCACATACTCCACTGCGGACAGAGCAATCGTATTCCCTCGTCTCTTGTCTCTTGTCTGGAAGTCAAAAGCTAGAAGGGTACCCTGGAGCATCATCATAGTGAATAAAGGCTTTTTGTTTGTTTTGTTTTTTTTAAGTTTCCACACTTCTCTCCCTTTCTTTGCTCTAAGTTTAAACTGAATAGCAGAAACATCCAGCCATCCTGTTTGCTGTCTAAAGCCCGGGTTCTACAGAATTGATGGTATTCTCCCTTCCAGATGATCTGTTTTCTTTCGTGGGGAAGTCTGCCAAGGTCTGTGATTGGTGTCACTTTGGTCTGTAGGCCATCAATCGTTCTCCCCTCCCAAAGGCGACTTTATCTCTGTCCTTCCAGGAGCCCAAGTTCCTGAGAGGGAATACGTTGAAGACGTGCCCACCACCCATGACTTACAGGAAATTAGGGCCAGTCTTTAGTTACTATGCCCTCCCAACGCTTTTTCCCTTTTGTGCCTTGATGGTGATCAGTTGTTTTTTTGGTGGTTGTGGCTGTTTAGTTACCTTAAAAAAAGTTACACTTGCTCCTTGGCCTCCGTGGAAGACTGATTCCACATATTTTGGAAGCTCAAGACCCTAATATTAATGGTGTAGTATTTGCACATCCCCGATGCACACCCTCCCAGATATATACTTGAAATAATCTCTGTGTTACTTATACCACCTAGTACAATACAGATGCTATAGAAACAGAACTTTATGCTCCCTCTTCACCTTTGAGCTCTGCCTGTTCAATTGCTCTCCCCAATATTTTCCACCCTTGCTTGGGTGAGTCCAGGGATGGGGAGCCCGTGGATCCAGAGAGCTGCCTGCATGTGTAATAAGTTTTGGTGCAATGCTCAAATTCCATGCCCCAAATGTGTGATCACGTTTTCCTGTATGCATGTTCATGTGCCTATGTGTATATTCACATGCATACACATTTGAGTCCATGCCTTTGTCTATAGTTTATATCTATGATTATATGTCTGCTATATGAACAATTTTCAAATGATTGGAAGTAAATGATAAAATTATGTATGTTATCAGTAAATGCAGGGAACAGAATAGGTTCCCCAATTTATACAGAGTAGCTGTTAAATCAATTCTGTAACAAAGAGATAAACCTGATTTCTAACCATTCAACCTTGTAATAGGTTAAATGATAACAAACCATTCATTGATTTTTTTTAAGAGTAATAAACAGAAACATGTACCAATTGAAAGAGCCAGCAATTCAATTATAATTAGAAAAACAAAAGTGATGAGCCTGAACAATGCTCCCTTAGTTTGGGGGATGAGAGTTGAAAATGCCAACCACATAACAATGTAGTATTTGTTTTCTTATCATTAAAGGCACCAGCACTAATCACGTCACTTTTAAAAATGATGCAGCAATTGAATAGAGTTCATAACCCAGGAGACACGTCTAATGGATATGCTTAAGCAAAAAGATATACATAGCAAACTAAGAAAACTCAAACTCACTGCTGCATAATCTGAACTGACTCATAGAAGAACCTCCACTGGGTTTTCAGAGGCTGTAAATGGCACATGAATAAACTGTTCATCTTCTGTGGCAGATCTGAACTGTCTGCCTTGGAATTGGCAGTGCAACTCTTTACTCACTAGGCCACCAGAGCCCTGTCATAGACCCAAATAGAATGAAAATACAGAGCAGAAGAAAATCTGAGTGAGAATGGCCTCCGCATTCCCCTGATTACTGCACAACCCTGTCCTCTCTTTTGCTAGCCATCAAGCAAATAAATGCTGAGCTCTGAATATATGCTCCAGGAGTTGTACTCTTGGTCTGTACCCCGGGTTTATGGAGTAGCAGCAAATGACCTCAGTGATAACACCTACTTACTAATATTGTGCTTTAGTCATTTTTGTCTACATTTTTCCTGAATGAGAAAAAGACCATAATGAAATGATTGAGGACTGACAAAGGCATGCCAACCTACCTTTGGTAGCCAGACGGACGCAGTTGATTTTGGTCTCCTGTGGAAAACAGAAATGAGGCTCCAGTTAATGAGTTGTGAATTTAGTTTGTTCTCTAAAGAACATTTGTTGCTTCTATGCACATGCATCTACATTTTTAGTTGTAGTTTTAAATTTGTCTTTTACATTTTATTTCTACATTGAAATGACATTGTCATTTCTTTTCAAGCTGTGTACAAACTTTGTTCCTCTTACTTCCTGGTTCTTACCACCTCACCATCCTCCACTCCAGACAGCTTTGCAAACAGCTGGGACAGGGCCCATTCCAAAACATTTCCAACAGCACAGTGAGATTACTGTGGCATACAGTCTGCTTCATTCACTGTGTCTGTTAGCAGACCGTCTACAAGAAATCTTGGGGAAACTTGGTCACAAGAGAAATACTGCATCTACGCACACTCCAAAATGAATGGACACTTAGCACAAGCCTAGAAACTAAGAATATTTAAGAACAAAACTGCGAAGTTCATGTTGGGAATGTCAGTTCTCCGATGAGCCTCACTGTCGACACGAATGCCACATGCGTGTGTGTCTCGGGGGTGGCAATAGAGTCTTTGCCGAGTGAACTCTCTCCTCCTCATTCTTACGAACTGCTGCTCATGTGGACAGGATTCAGGTACCTGTGATCTTGCTGGGCATGCAGGAGAATTACAGAGGAAGGCGATTGATTAGGAAGGAGGATCAGCATAGCTTAGCTACTGGGGCTCCGCTTCCCAGTAGGTCTTGGAGAAAGTTGAAAACTCTAGTTGACGCCAGTGTAACCCCAGCAGTAGGTTGACTTGAGCATGTAGCTGTTGTTGCCTGGTGTGACTGAGTTAGTGTCAACTCCTAGCGGCCCTGAGTCCAATATAGGAACACCTTGCCCAGTCCTCTGCTATTCTCACAATCTCTGGATCGTTGCAGTCATTCTGTTAATCCGTCTCACTGAAGGACTGCCTCTGCTTCTCTGATCTACTGCTTTCCCGATGTCCTTTCCCAGAGACTGACCCTGCCGAGAACATGCTCAAAATACGTGGGATGCACTCTCAGCACCCTCGTGTCTAAGGAGCGCTCTGACTGCACTCCTTCTCAGGCATCTTCATGCTTTTGGAAGTCCTTGCCATTCTCTTCGTTCTTCAACGCCACAATTCAGTGCTATCAGTTCTTCTTCACTTTTCTTTATACATAGTCCAACTTTCACATCATTCGGAAGCAACTGAACATGCCATGGCATTGGGTCGAGTGCACTTTAATCTTTAAAGTGACATTTTTGCTTTTTAGCGTTTTAAAGAGGTTCATGACAGCAGATCTGCCCCGTGCACTATGCTGTTTTAATTTCACAATTGAGGCTTCCACTGGCATTGATTGCAGCTAACTGCAAAATGAAATCATTAACACCTTCAGTGTGTTTTCCACTTATTATTATGTTGTGAATGCGACCAGTTATGAGAGGTTTGGTTTCTTTTATGTTGAAGTGTAATCCATACGGAGGGTTAGACAGTCTTTGATCTTCTCCAATAAATGTTTCAAGGCCCTCATCACTTTCAGCAAGCAGAAATAAATACAGAAGTGACAATAAAAGAAAAAATCATCCATGCGTGTAGGTCATAGAGCCAAAGCACTTGAGGATTCAATGAATATCTTGCTAATGCTGAGTGAGAAGCAAACGCTGCCTATTGAAGGCACCTGCGTTAGGCTGGATAGGAAAGGTTCTGCTGCAGTAAGAAAAGACCAAACTTTTGGCCTGAAAATAGCAAAGATTTACTTTCCACACAAGCTGTATGCTCGTTGTTATTTAAGGTGTGAGTGACAGATGAGTGATGTGCTAATCATTGTAGTCACGCGGAAGCCCAGCTGATACTTCGTGGGAACACAAACCTCCATGTTTACAGAGGAATGGGATGAGAAGGCTAAAAGCCAAATTGTTGTTGTGCACCATCGAGTCAACACCAACCCACAGCTGACTCTCCAGTGGGTTTTCACTAGGTTGATCAGTGGGTTAATCACACAGGAGAAGACTGTCTCATCTTTCTTCTGCAGACCAGGTGGTGATTTTGAACTGCGTACCTTCAGCATTACAGCGCAGCTTCTTACCACTAGGTCACCAAAGCTCCCTGAAGAGTTAAATGCTGCCAGTTACATATTTTGAATTCAAAGCGCAAGTCTACTAATGTTTTATTGGCTAGAACCAGCTTAACTTCAATGAAGCAAGGAAATAGAAAATGGTAATGTCTACAAGCACAGTTGATTCTGTTTCTGTACATCCCGGGATATTAGATGTTGTTGCTTCTGTTCAACACAAATAGAAGCCTAGAATTCTCATCTGTGGCCTTTATTCTGTTCCTCATGTGCACAGAAAGTCTGTCCCTGTTGTTGATGATGGATTCCTGACTATTGAGAGGCGATTTGCAGATCCTGCTAACACTGTTTGCTTAAGCATTTCCTCCTATTTTGATAAGTATTCAAGTTGCCTTATCTTAGTGATTTATTCTGGGACATTCTCCAGTGTGTCCCTCTCTCAAGGTCCAGTGACTGGAATGGGAGAGCCGAGCCTATGTGAAGACATGTCAGTGTTCTGCTTAACTAAGTTATCACGCCTTTCCTTTTATACTGGACTTCCGGTAACATAGTTAGTATTTCAGCTTTCAGTGACAGCAGTGAATATCCATCAATCCTCCCTCCTCTCAATTCAAATATCTTGCTTTAGACTTGAGTCTCCACATATAATTTTGTTGGTAAGACCACAGAGTCTCACAATCACCATTTTTGTGTTCTGTATTTTTTGAGTGGACCAATTGCTAAAGTTGTTATCATATTATTCACCATCTGATAATTGTTGTTGTGCACCGTTGAATTGGAATGGACCCATAGCTGACCCTGCAGTGGGCTTTCAGAGGCAGCAAATCACATGGAAGGAGACTGTCTATCTTTCTTTAACAATTTGAAAATTACTGGTCCTGTATGTTTAAAACTTTAATTGAAAGATTACTACAAATTGTTGTTTTCTTGTTAAGTTCTGTCGAGAAGTGACTCATAGTTGACCCTCCGGCAGATTTTCAGATTCTATAAATTGCACAGGAGGAAAATGCCTCTTTCTCCCATGGAGCAGCTGGTGAATTTGAACAGCTTACCTTTGGGTGTGCAATGTAACTCTTTACCCCCTTAGCCAGGAGCTGAAAAACGTCAGCAGTAAATCCCTGTGACATGTACTAGAATCTTTCCTAATGGCATTCATTACTCATCAGAAAATCTGGTTTGGTTATCTTACCAGAGACTAATCTCCCTAATTGTGTATGCATTCACATCCTCCTCCTGCATTTTTCTATAAAAATAGCTTGAGAATTAGGGTCAAACTCATCGCAGATACTATAGAACTCTCAAAGAAAGAGAACTGTTGTTGACATAGCATGTTATTTGCAATAAGTGTTTCATTCTCTTTTTGCTGGAAACTTTTTTTAACAAAAAATTGCTTCTCTGGAAAATGTAGAAAAGTTAAAAGTATATGACACATATCGTTCAAATATATGAAATATTCATATGAGGCACTTACATGAAATTTGAAGTATGTGATATTTCAAGGAAAGATGTGTTTTAAAGAATATATTCAGAAGTCAGAAAGAAGGAAAATCACTGCGAACAAATACAAAAATAAAGTAGAATTTTGTAAGTGCGATGCCAAAAATGCGGAGGTGACTGGCAAGTTAAATATTACAGATGAGCTCACATTCATTTGGAGAAAGGACAAAGTTCTTCACCTCCTATTGGCTTCGACTTGTATGCTTTCGTTTAAATGGCTAAAAAGCTGACAACCAAGTAAAATACAACTTGCACAGAACTAAAACAGAACTGTATCATCACAATGATTATGATGAAGAAATTATGTAGAATAAGAGAGGTGTCAGGAGACGAACTATGGTCAGCAGGAAATCCAATTCAGTGCAACTGTGATTTACAAATCCTATAATAGAAAATTTGTCAGTTCTGTGCATGGTTGTTAACTCCAGCAGCAGGCAAAGGTTTGATGAGGCCAACACTGCTAATGGCAATTTCTGAATCTGCATTTAGACTTTAAAGAGTCTGTTATCTTCTCTCCACATCACATAATCTATTCTCATGGAACAGCACTAAGTGTAATAGTTTTGTATTTGAAGATGTTGATTCTAGTGTTGTTTAGAAAACAGAAAATTAGGAGCAGTCTATCAATCTCATCATACTGGAATGATAAAGTAAGTTGTAGCCTATCCAGACAGTGGAATATTAGGAAGCTGGAAATAAAAATGATTGTGAGTGCTGTGTTATTGTGTATAGTACTTATAAAAATCACACTAAATTAATAAAACAAAGTATGTTTTAAAATTATACGCTTACGCATGTAAACTAGCATACCAAAGCACACAGATGTGAAGTTAAACATTTAAAGCTTGAGGGAAATATAATAAATTTTCATTTTTTTTAAAAAAGAGAATAGCATAGAGTGTAGCATACAAACAAGTATCTGTCGCAAACCTACTGCCTTTATGTCAATTCTAATTCCTGGTGACCTTTCATCAGGTTTCCAGGGCTGTAAATCTGACCGGAAGTAGACTTCCCTGTATTTTCTTCCATGGAATGGCTAATGGACTCAAACGGAGGACCTGTTGGTGAGTATCCTACCAGGTAACCCATTACATACTATAAGGTAACTCCTTGCAGGCATACAGAGTCATCTTAAATCCAATTTGACCAATCTTCAGTGTACATACCCCTATGACCAGCATCCAGATGAAAAAGGACATTACCAACACCCTGGAAACTTCCTCCATGGCCCCTCTGGGTCACTTCCTCTCTGCAGAGGGGAACCTTAACCTGCCTCCTGTGAAAGTGTTCTCTTTAAAGTGTAGTCTCACTAAAGGGAATAGGGTAGCTGTGATGGTTTATCCCACTACCTCCTCTAACTCACTGGGTAATTTGTATGAACTTCTAACCCTCCCGAGACCCATCATCCTTTCCACAGTTTCATGCTTGAAAACAAGCTATTATTT